TGATATATTTTTTATGGGATTACGGATTTTCAGGACTGCCAAACAGCCCTTAAAATCACTTGTCTGATTTCTTATTATATGATTAATTAGTGGACTAGCTCCGTGGTCTCCAAATTTACCAAGCCGGAAAATTTTTTGGGTTGGATTTGGTTCCAAATAAGCTAATGGGTTTTATTTTGGGCTCAAAATGGACTACGTACTCGCTAAACTTATGTGTGAGCATCAGATACGAGTATATTTGTTATTTATAATATTTTATTTATTTAGAGAAATATTTTACCTGAATTGTAGAAAAAAAAATTAGATAAGAAATGGGTATAAAAATAGTATATTCATAAATATCAAATCAAGTAACAAGTATAAGGGTTTAAAATTGTTTAGCTGACCTATTTAACCATTTTATCTAACTGATTTGTTACTTATACTTGTATAATTGAAAATTTACATATATTTATTATACTTAACATTTATATAATAACAATAATTTTTAAAAATAAAGATTTAAAATTATTTAACTGACCTATTTAACTGAGATATTACTTATACTTATATAATTGAAAATTTACATATATTTATTATACTTAACATTTATATAATAACAATAATTTTTAAAAATAAAAATGATAAAGTATAAAATTAAAAAGAAAAGAAATCACACACTCGGCTTATGAATAACAAACTTTAAATTAAACACATATCACATACGTAGCCAACCACTTTCTCCCTTCTTTGCACTCTTAGCAGTCTTAGGCAATAGTGAATTCTTATAATTTTAAAGTTTGATTATTTTTAGCTTTCTTTTTACTTTTTTATTAGTGATTTTTGAGTCATAGTTTTTGTTTATTGTATAAATTATTTTTTAGTTTTAAACTTTAAATTTTACATGAGAAGAATTATAAGTTAAAAGTATAGGTATCATGATATTAAAATAGATAAAAAAAAACCATTAGTCACTATTCCTTTCTAACGAACCAAAACAAAGGATTAGAAAAACTACACGCCCAAAAACCTAAACATCTTCTTTGATAGACTTTTATTATTTTTTAATTTATTTTCATTCTTTATTTTTTATTGTTAATTACTTAATTGAGTTTAGTTATTTAATAGTTTGTAGATTTGAGTTTTGGATATGAAACCAAATTTTTGTTTTCTATTGTTAATTTAGATTATATTTAAGTTTAGATTGTAATAAAGAATATTTTATTAAAATTTTACTAGTTTTATTTAAGTTTATATTGAAAGTAAACAATATTTTATTAAATTTTAATTTTTAAAAAAAATTTAAAGTAAAATATTATTCAACAAGTATATAAATACATACCTACAAGGCTACAAGTTACTTGGTACTTGAGTTAAATATCAAGCATAGGTTTTCAAGTATTTGAATAAATATCAAATCTAAAATACTATATTTAAAAATTTTCAAATTACATATCAAATATATCTTATATTCAACCTATAAATAAAAATGCCCACCCCTAGCTAAACCATAGAACACATCCTTTTTCACTTTTAACTACAAAAAAGAACAACTTTGAAATTTGGATAGCTTTTTTTTTTTTACAATAAAATATAATCATTTATTGACCTTTAATTCACTCCATCTATTATATTATGCTATTCATATTTAAAATTTCTTATTTTAAAAAAAAATTATTATTAAACTACATAAATTGTAAGCAAAATTTGAATAGTTTTTTTTTGGCAAAACTTAGCTTTTCAAATTCTAAGAGGTACCAATAATAGTTTGTTTGAGTTTATTTCCATTAATTTGGATATTTTAATTTAGGACTAAGATTAGAGTTTCAAAAAGAACTAACTCTCTGATTTAACAAGAAAAAAAAAATTCAAAATAGGTATAATTATAAATAATTCATGGGACATTTTCTGCTTCAAAAACATTAGAAACCAAAGTATGGGACCAACTTACTAACCAGCTTTCAGCCTTTTGATAGATAGATAAAGAATAATGATAAATAGAATTAAAATTTGAGATTAAAATTTTAGACTAATGATGAGACATAACTTATATCATTTAAATTAATATTAAAATATAGACTATATATTATTTAATAATTAATTTTTTTATTTTTTATAATTTATAATATTATATACATTAATTAATTTAATAATATAATTTATATCACATAATTACTTATAGATAAATATTAGCGCAGGTGCAGATTTCTTAAACTTGAAAGTGCTGCATCTTCCAACAGGGAATGTTTCATTGCACCTTGTTCCATCTCCTCTCTTATTTACATACCCTGGATACTTGTCTTTGTGAAATGGCACTTGAGATTTCAAAAACAGCCCCACCTCCTCTGCTATATTCTCTATTCCCCACTCATCGTATGGATAACCAGTCTTGTGGGTTATGTGGACTTCACCATCTTCTTCCAGCATTTTCTTTGCATTTCTCAGAAATCCCCTCACTAAATACTGGTGCAACCTAATTAATTAATTTATTAACAAGTAAAATTAATCACTCACTCAAAATTAAGAATGCATGATTGTTGTTCTAGTTGAACGAATTAACAAATTAATTAACCTGATTTGCCTATTGTCACGTTCGCGGTAAAAGAAACCAGCATGAGGAAAGTTAAAGACTATCCGATCAAACAGTTTTCGTTTGAGGCAAGAATGTTTGCTCATTGTATGAACATCTATTCCATGCAAAATTTTGCACCCTAGATATTCCAGAACATCCAGGTTTTCCTCAGCTTTTGAATACTTCCTCACCAACTCCTCTGGGTTTAATTTTCGGAGGTTAAAAGATTTCTAACTAATTCAATGGCAACAATTTCTCAATATGTACATACAAAGTGTAGGAATTACCTCTTGAATCCAGGGAAGTAGCAACAATGTTGGATGCAGAACCCAATCTTGTGGCTAGAGATAAAGAGAAGGAGAAATCTCCCTCTCCCACCAGCAGAATATTGTGATTGCCACTGTACATTTTTGACGTTTTCTTTCCCATGTTGCAGCTTCTTTCTTGATCCTTCTTTTTTGCAAAGTATATATATATATATATATGCACGCACATATATGTTATAATATTCTTCTCTTCAACAGATTTGTTTTTGACAGAGGCAGAAGGGAGAAGAAAGAAAAGAAGAAAGGGATCTTTGTGGGAAATATATGAAAGACAGAATCCTTTAGGAATTCGAATAACACAAGAAATCTAAAGAATTGACATGAAAAATGATCATAGCCAAACAACAATAGGGGGTTTAATTCAATTATTAATTAAATCTGCTCTTTGTTTTTGGTGAATACTAATGGAGTGCATAGTAGGGCAGTCTTTGGTAAACATCGGAAATTTCCAACAGGCATGCCTCTAAGAACGTATCTCTTTTTCTTTTTTCTTTTTTATTTTTGTAAATATTTTCCTAACATACACTATAAACATATATACTACTAAAGGTGTAGTTAATGTTAATTTTTATAATTTTTTTATGTAATTAATTTTTTTAAAATATATTTATTATATTCTCAATATGTATTTTAAAAACTTACACAAAACCAACATAATTTTTTTGGGTCAATGATTCTTCAACGCTTAATAAATTTTTGTTTCTTACTTTAGAAAAATCGTTTCTACTTAATTTTTTCTATAAACTATAAGCAAGCAAGTAATTCCATTTCCATATTAACAAAATTTGTAGTCGCGACTCGTGAGTAATGGAGATTAAAGCATTAAACGCCATTGCACCATCTTATGTACACAAACAGAAGAGAAGAGAAGGGTGGGAAGAAAAAGAGAAAGAAATGTAAACTAATGGTTCTTCAGATTCAGATGTGCAAGCATTAAATTAAATTGATTATGAGGGCAGGCATATATGGTTCAATGATTGCCAAATATTATATCAAGTGATGGTGAAAGAGCAAACGAGTTAAGATATCTACCCAAATGCACTTGGAGATTTGACGTTTTTTACCCCCTCTCACCCACATTTTTTTTTTAATTTTAAATTATATAATAAATGATAATTTTTACCTTATTTTTATATATT